GTCCTTCCTTCCTTCCTTCCTTCCTTCCTTCCATCACTTCTCCAGATCCTTCACAGGAGACTTGGGGAATGGACATGATCTCTGTTGGGAAGGGAAATTAGTTTTCTCTTAATCTGCTGATGGAAATCTACTACCAGCAGGGTAATATTGGTCGGATTTCACCTAAATATCCACTCTTTTATCCCCTCTTTTGACAAAACTTCAAATCCCTAACCAATGGTTACCGTCCACTTCCTGAACGGAGTTCTTACTGCAGCGATCTATGCAGTCTGCAGATCTGCCTACAAGAACTGGGGAGATTTTGAGAGAAAAGCAGAATAAGAAATGTTTACCCCAAAGACCATAACTCCACAGATCCCTGTCCCAAACCAGTTGTGCAATGTCCTCTCTTTGAGACTGGGAGAAATGAATAACTGCAAATAATACATTGAAAGTATATGACATAGGCGCAACGGGCATGGGCTGTGCTATCCTCATTAATGACACCATAAATAATAGCTAATGAGGGCCTGTAACAGTTAATCACAGTTCAGAGTGCAGTGATACAGATTCCATGTGCTAGTTGAGGGGAAGGGATGGCATTTTGTCAGGAATAATTGTGCATGCGGTGCTGGAAAAAGAAGGCATTTCTGCAGAAGATTTATAAGCTGGCATAAAGATGCCTGAATTCTGCCTAGGAGATAAGATGAGCGGTGAATTCATTATAGTATAATGAATGCTGATATAAAAACAACACCTGAAGAGCTCCAGGGGCTGTCATGGGAGAACATGGAACTCGTGCATTAGATTGTCTTGTGGTGAATGGTCCCTGCTGAGGAACAAAACATTAACAAGAGGACTAAACCGTTATCACTTGGTGGCCCAGGCCAAATTGTTCAGCACATCCCCTTGGAAGCTTCTAAAAGATTCAAGAGCAGAACATTCGTCGGAGCCTACCCCCTTTCTATTCATAGCTGTCTGGGTCAATGTAATTTTTTTTACAATGAAGTCAGTGAATCATAGGGTTTATTTATTTATTTATTAGATTTACAGGCCACCCATCTCCCCCAGAGGGTGACTCTGGATGGCTCACAATGAAAATCAAACCTTAAAAACAGTACAAATATAAATATCCATATTAAATTAGCTAAAAAAAAAACTATATAAAAAGGGCTATATACAATTCAAGATGATGGGGGGGGGGGCAGAATCGATTACCCCACCAGCCAATTCCAACAATGCGGACCCCCATCAGGCCCCCAGGCCATCTGGCATAGCCAAGAGTTCACACTCTTCCTGGGGGGGCACACCGCACCTCAGGTGGTAAGCTGTTCCACAAGATGGAGACCACGGCAGAAAAGTCCCTCTTCCTAGACCCCACCAGCCAAAATTCCTTGACTGGTGGGGTCTGCAACATGCCCCTTTTGCTGGACCGAGTGGGGTGGGCAGATATAATGGGTTGGAAAAGATTTTGGAGGTTTTCTAATTCCACCCCCTGCCCAGGGCAGGAATCCTCAGACGATCCCAGTCAAATGGTTGTCCAACTTTTGCTTGAAAGCCTCCAGTGATGGAACTCCCACGAGGCAAGCTGTTCTCATAATCAGGAAATTCCTCCTTATTTTGAGTTTGGATCTCCCTCTGTAAAGCTTTCACCCGTTGCTTCTTGTCCTACCCTCAGGAGCTTGGAGGTATGAATTTTTACTCACTTCCCTGGGACAAGTATTGGAAGTCTGCTATCGCACCTCCCCTCAGCCTTCTCTTCTTCAGGCTAAACGTACTCAGTTCCTTTAATGGTTTTTATAGGATTTAGGGGAAGAGTTAGAATTAATGGCCTGATAAATCGGAATTTGTGGGGAAATCGAGACATACAAAATCATTCTTGGGGTAACAACTGATTGCTGATTGGCCCATTTCACATCCTCTCCCATCAGACCACACTTATCTGTGCAGCTTTGATTATAGAATGAAGTCAAGGATATAATAAACCGTGATACTAACTTTATATCTGCTTAGAGTAGTGTTTCTCAACCTTGACAACTTTAAGATATGTGGACTTCAACTCCCAGAATTCCCCAGCTAGTCATGGGGAAGTCCACGCATCTTAAAGTTGTCAAGGTTGAGAAACACTGGTTTAGAGCTACCAGATATCTGAATAGGCAAAGGAGGATGCAGACAATTGGAAAAGAAGACAAATGGGGGGGGGGAGGAGGACACATTAACTGTTTCACTTTCTAGGCATCCGTGACAAAAATTCCAGTGAAAAACTGCCCCCCCGCAAAAAAGTACTTAGCCTTACATGTATATGAAATTACTTTTTCCCAGCATCAGAAAGATTGGCTTTTCACTAGCAGGAACATTCTACAGCATTAGGAGGTAAAAGCCTTCAGCCTATAACTGATTAAGGTCTTGTTAATTTCAGACAGCGAGCAAGCCCTGAG